GTATATGTGAAGAATTGCATCCTGTTCTCTCCAAAAGAGAAACACCTGATTCATCACTTTATTGTCTTCAAACTTTTGTCCTCCTGTTTTTACAAAAGGTTAGGTGTCAAAGAAGGGAGTGTAGTGTGCTGTGAAATATTGAATTATATATTTTTAATGAGCATAAAGTTGACGGGGCTGATACAGTATATTCTAACATTATAAAAAGCAATTTTTCATCTTTGAGTAGTTAGAAAATCAACAGAGATACTCTATGTATTCCTCTTGTGGCTTCTTCTTAATTTAGCTCTAAATGTGAGAGGTTGACTGTATCAGAAATCAGCGAGTTACTTTTTTGCCGTGCTGAAAATAAAAGCTGAAATCCTGCCTTTGATGTAATCTAACAAAACAACTGTTGCCTTCTGTTTCAGCAGCAGTTTCATGTGCCCATATAGCATTAATTTGGATTTCAAGACAGTCTGTTGAGAAGGACACTCAGAACACAGACTCTGTGTTGGGTAAAATATCAGAAGGATTTTTTAAAAATTTATTTGTACTTTAAAGGATTGTCTGAGTCTGTGATGGAAATTGCTGTGTAAGGAAAATCTGCTGCAATTTTGTGACAGATTCTGGAAGAAAGGGTAATTCACACCAAAATATGTTCACAGATAATTGATAGCGGAGAAGAAGTTTCTTCTTTACTAACCATTAAAAATAATAGGACCTTCAGTATCCCAATATTCCTGCATCAATAAGATTGGACTGGTGGAGAATAAAAAGCCATCATAGAATCTAATCTGCTGCTATCACAGGCAACTATGCAGGAATGTCCATGATTTACAAAACTAAGAACTCTTTTAGTCTTTTATAAAATAGTCCAGATCAAAGAAGAGATTGGAACATATATAGGAAAACATCAAAAGTTATCAAGAAACTCTTCAGTATTCCAGATCCTTGGATCAGTTTGGGAATTGTCAGGTAAGGCTCTGACAGTCCTGATATTGACCAATACAGAGAAAAAAACAATTGCTTTAATTATGTTGTCCTAACTTTATATAAACTCAAATCAGGAATTTTATTACTTGCAAATTTTGATTTCTTTTAACGTCTGTTCCTTTAACCTGCAATTTAAGCTGCAGAAATTATTCACAAAATTTTCACTCAGTGACTATTTGTCAAATACTTTAATCTTTCACCATATATCTGTGTAGAAAATATTTCTTCATTATCATAACCTGTTTGATTTGAATGAGTAAAATATAACTGGTCAGTCTGAAACTTTCTGTCAATTGTCTAGAAATAATTTCACTAGTAATCAAATGCTCTCTTGCTAATACCAGAGCAGCCAATATGATAATCTACAGAGGCAGAAAGGTGACAAAAGCTTGTGACTTCAAAAAAATCTTTATCTTTTCTATGCCTCTTACCTATGTTTTAGTGAGAGGATCTAATACACAAAGCCAAGGTTTGAATATGTTTCTTAAAAGAATAAAGCATATTGTTCTTACCCAAAATATTAACAACACTAACAAATTATGAAAAAAAAATTCCCTAACTTTATCCACCTCCAAAAATAAATATATGTATGTAAGATTAAAAAACACTCAGTTTTTTAAAATTACATGTTCATATTTTTTTTTCTTATTTCTTAATTGGGCAGAAGAACTCAATCTTCTCAAGTCTGTGTTTGAAATTATGCCGTGATGGAATTTCTAGCACAGAAACTTTCACTTCAGAAATAACTCTCTGACTCAAGAGAGGTTTGAACAAGTTAAGGGAAATCCTATAATGATGTTCAGGGGGTACAAATGATCACATCAGTCCCATCTGGTTTTTAGAGCATGAATGTGAGATCTGAAAACTTAGCTTAAAAATAGAAGCTGAGAGCCTCACAAAACATCTAACTCCTAGAGCTGATGCCTTAGTAAAGCCTCTTAGAAAGCTATTCAGACAAACATTAATACATAGGTTTATTGTTCTATCTGCCCTTGCCTTTTCTACAGTTTAAATAATTTTTCTGCTGACCAATCTCATGACTGTTGCTTTTAGCTCTACTGACAATTCTGCTGTATCTAAGGCCTGCCTTTTGCAGCTTTCCTAAAGTTCTATAATATAATATAAAATTCTGTATATAAGAGCACTGTTGTAAAAATTGTCAGAGTGATCATATTATTGGCAGATGGCTGATGAGAGTTGTCTCTGTTTTCAAGGGTTCTCCAGCTGAGTGCTCTGATGTGGGATTTTCACTAAGACAGGGGCTGTGCAGCTAGTCCCAGTGGAATTACACTACTTTTCCTAGGATAAAAGGCCTCCCTTATTCCATGATGTGATTTTTTTTTTTTGTCTTTTCCCAGGTAATGGGAGAATGCTGGTGAAGGGACATTTATTCTTGTCATGGCTGTCTAGAATGGTGCTTCCATATTTGAAGAGGGTATAAAAAACATTCCTTATTTTTCTAATAGACTCTTTTCCTTATCTTTCTCTATTATTTGGATGATGGTTAAAACTGCCCAGGGGTCAGATTTGTCACAAGAGGTTTGGTTATAGGCAGGAGACATGAAGTAGGGCTCATTTTGGGTATGCCAAGTTCTATAGAGACACAATGACAGAACATGTAGGGCACAGCAGAAAATACTTTATATTATAGACTTTATATTGCATGGACATGGCAGAAGTGGGCCAGACTGAGGATAAACCCGTGTATGTGCTGGCACAATTATTTCCAGTAGAATTCAGCTGTTTAAAGAATGTGGGCCCATAAGGTACAACCTCCATTCTCCAGAGCTCTTGGAGCTCCCTTAATTCCCAAATGTTTCTCTCAGCCTAACTGCATGTAAAAGTGGGATACTGAAGCAATCTCAGTGAGAAAAATAACTACAGGTATTGTTGATTGCACTGACGCTTTAACTACTGTTCATCTTCTATGGTTTGTTTTTTTTTGGCTATAAAAATTGGGCCATTCATCAGTATTACTGATATTTCTGTAGTTTGAATGGTTTTTTAAATATTGTGTTCAAAGTACTGTGTATTCTTAGTTTTAACAGCATGCCATTACAAATCTCTCATTTCACTTATACTCAAAAATATTACAGGAAAAAATGAAACCCTCTTAATTGGTGGTCAAACCTAAGACCAAGACAAAGCTCTGTAAAGAAGGACAGATGAAAGACACACTCAGTATAACATTCTGTTGCTGTCTGTGATTTGGACATGCAGTAGAGAGAAAAAAGTCCTTGCAAGGGATTTAGACATAGCCTGCTGGAAGACTTGGGTTAAAATTTAAAAAACAAACAAACAAAAAAGAAAAACAGAAAGAAACTAATTTTCCAGCATCTGAGGGAGACTCAGTAATGTGAGCATTGCCAAAAACTCCTCTCAGTCTCCTCATCTTAAAAGCAATGCTCGTGAGAAAAATGTTTTTGCTTTGAGGAAATAACATCTTTTCCTTGAGCCAAGCTTCCACAGGGTAAAAGTGGGATGAGCAATAAAATCTGTGTGTTTTATTGGATTGTTAAAATTCAAGTACTACAGTAAATGGTTTGCAAGCAGTGGAAATTAATGTTGGAAAGTAATTATATGCTAGTTATAAAGATATAATGTGATTATACATATGATTTATGTGGTCATTATAAAAATTTTGCCAACCTTACTTTGTGTGTTTGTAACATGATCTATATTTTAATTGTAGAATTAAAAGCTACTTTAAAAAATCTAACAACTTCAAGCTGCAAAAATACAGCTCACATTACTAACCTTTTTAGCTCCATGAAAGAATCAATGAGGTTTAAGTAACTGCACACTTGGTAGACTGATCTTAGTATTGTTCAAGACTAAAAAGTGATTTTGAATGGACAAAATAATAACTTGAAGGACGATCAGACAGCATTCTGTGGGCTTGAGTGAATGCAATCAGTATCTTAGAGAAATAAATGGTTGGCTGAAGATGACTGTGAATTGCCACTGTGATGAGATCACAAAAAATTCAAATGTATATTTGGGAAAATTTAATTTGCACAGATGTTGGTGGGTATCAATTCCAAATTAATAATTTGTCCCCTGTTAAAATGTTAAGGTAATAGAAAAAGCTGCATTTGCCATTATACTTATTACAGATCCATCTGTCCCTAAAAAATAAAAGGCACCCCAAGAAAATTTCCATGCTTAATTTCTGAATTCTTTCATCTGGCAAGAAGGTAAGATGAAAATGATTTACTTCAGATAAATGCCAGTCAAAAGCTAGACAAATATTTGGGAAGGTCAGAGGAGGTGTGAAAGATAGGATTAAGCTGAGGAAAGGAAATATTAGATGAAATATCAAGTCACAACTCTTTCTTTCAATAAAAGTATTTTTCTTTCACAGTAGATCAGAGCTCTTTGCTCATTCAGAACTAAGCACTGAGATACCTTCTATAGAGAGCAATTTTTTATTGCCAAGGACAAACACAATATGATCTAATAAGCTTTGTCTCATCACAAATTTCTTTTTGCAGTACTTCAAAATGGTGATTTGGAAAATTTAAAAGAGAATTGCAAACAAGATGTATGCTTGGTTTGAATTTGATTCATATTTTTGCTATTTCTCCTCATGGCACATCCATAATTATGTTCTTGTGGGTTTGCTGAGATTGAACTTCTATTTGTCAAGTACATTATCAAACCATTGACCTGCATCACTCACAAACTCAAAACCCAGTTATATAAAGTAGAACCTGAAGTACCTTAAGAACTTATCTCTTCTTGTATGACTGGGTTTATCCAAAACAGAAGGAAAAGTCACTTTAGTCTACTTCACACTACTGCTTTTCTTTCATCAGAGTAACTGCTGTTAGGTGTGGAAAAGACTCCTTGTGCCATTTATTTTTGTGCCTGGGGAGGTAAAGGCCAGGCAGATTTCTTTTCCTAGTAGCTTTTGTCTGGGAGCAATTCTTGGATTTATTTGAGCTCAATTCTCTTTATTTCAGCTTGATGAGAGCAGAAAACTTTGAGCCTGAAGCTGAAAAGACACGAAGCTCGGGGAGGACCAAAAGCATTGGATGGAGAAATTAGTACTTCAATTATGTTGTTTGTGATAGCTACAGAAGTGTATTATTCTCCAGAAATAAGAAAAAGCTCTGTGCTTTTTCTCATGGTAAGACTTCTAGTTTTTATATCCAAGGTCTCACATTTCATATATTCCTTTGTATATTTGGCTCAAACGTGTTTTATTCACCTCAGATTGCCCCACTCTGTTCTGCGCCGGTGCAGCCTCA